CATAAAAGTTTGTAGAAATGAGTGTTGCAAAAAACGGCCAATTTTCATGGAGTTGGAGATTTCAACAGTTGTCCTCGTGGCTTATACCGAGGGAAAGTATACCTGCTACGAATATTGAAGTTGAGGCTAAAACTTTAGGAGACAGCAAATGGAAGTTAGAACTTAATTTTAGTTCCAATTCTTATGAAAATAAACAGTATTTAGTGTTAAAGTTGCACCTGATCGATTACGATGAAAACTCAATAAAAGAAAAACTAGCTCTCAGTTTCCAGTACAAACTGCTCAGTTCCGATGGTGAGATTTTTGCGACTTCTGAAATATTAAACGAAACATTCGACAAAGGAACTGATTCAGCACTATATCAATTAATTGATATAGAAGATTTAAAGAATCATTCACTTAACTGGTCGGATGATTTTTGTACTCTTATTTGTTACATGGCACACAGTGGATTGTCTCTGATATTAAGTAATACTCAGTGTATTGATTGTCACATCGAAACTATTCGTTATTCCCAGATCAGTTTATTTGAATGGCGTTTTAAGTTCACAAACAGCAAAAGTTGGTCAGTTCATAGAAGAATATATGGATTAAGTATACCTCTTGAAATTACCCTTAGGTATGTTGAGGATAAAATTGAAATTGAAATTTCATCAATTATTGAAGATGATTGGGAATATGAAATAGGTAAAAGAATATGCCTCTTCAATGACATTGGTACTAAAATAGTTTCAGAAGATGGAGTGAATTCGTTTAGTAAAACAAATAAAATCTGGATACAATCCAGTACTATAACTAAACATCACCTGAAGAAGGCAAAATGTTTTAGAAATGAGGAAATAAGAATAAAGTGCGATTTTTTTCAAACGTCGTCTACCTTGATTAGTTTATCTAAAAATGAGAAGAAGAAAAAAGTGAGACTTGAGTCCACCAATGCCGATTGTTTTTTGTATCTGCAACATCTGCAACAAGACCTTCACAGTTTGCTTGAGGATGAGCACTTTGCAGACGTGCAATTACGCGCTGAAAATAAGGTTTTCTTCGCACACAAAGCTATCCTGGCAGCCCGATCACCAGTGTTCTCAGCTATGTTTCAGCAAGAGATGGTAGATAGCAATTCTGGCGTTGTTGACATTCTCGATGTTAGGACTGAAAGCTTGAAGCTATTTCTGGAGTTTATATACACCGGAGATATTGGAGATATAGACGAAGAAATGGCCTTAATTATGCTAGTTATGTCCGATAAATATCAAGTAAGATCACTGAAAGAGAAGAGTTTGAAATTTCTGATGTCAGTGATATCTGTAAATAATGCTTGCAAATTTCTGACAACTGCTGACAAGGTACATTGTGATGATTTGAAATCAACTGTGATGGAATATATTCTCGAACATTCCAAAGATATTTTATCTTTGTTGGAGTGGCCAGAGTGGACGAAAAATAACATTTATTTGGCATCAGAAGTAATTTCGAAAATATTGAATAAATTTTAAAATAAGCTCTGAAGTAAATGGGTAAGTAATAATTCTTTTAAATTTTCTAATCAAAAATGGTGTCAAAGAAAGAGATAACAACATAAATTTCAATATTTTCATGTCTTTTTTTTAAAAAAAAAAAATTCCTTTTTATTTGTTTATCGTTACACATACATACGTAAATTGGGTCTTCCTGGTCAAGCAGTGTCACAGTTTTGCCAAACGAACGCTCTGTAGTATTACGGTTGCTGGTTCGAATCAAGCTGCAACCGTGGGTTTATCCTAGTGATGTGTGCTATTTGTTTTTCTACTTGATAAGGGATTTCTTTTTTTACCTATGACACCTATGTAATATTACAGGACTGTATTACAGGATACAACAATTAAATATAAGGAGTTCCATCTTAAGATTTCTTATTGTAAATGTTGAATTTAATCTTTAAAAACTAGTTTAGATTAATGTAAGTTTGATTTGAATTAGTAGAATTTGATTAATCGTTATTGAATTAGCTGATGGATAAATTCGATATTTGGCCTGAACTACAAAGAATAATAATTAAAAAAACTTTTGTTTGAAAAGAAACAACAACCTTAAACTGGTATTTTAAGACCAAAAATTAAAGTTTTACTTCATTTTAATGTATTTTTATTTATTTTATTTAATTTGTTTGTAAATATTTCGTGAAATAAATATGTAGAGGGAAAAAATATTGTTCACAGTTTCAAATAATTCAGGCTAGAGTGGAAAGAAGACTGCGGGGAGAATAAAACTTCGTCGATAAATTTTTTTGAAATTTTAGGTAACATTTGAAAACTTTTTATTAACATATTCGTGAAGAGAGCTTTAAGTCCTAAATAGTTTACTGATTTACTTTTTACTGAATTTCATGAAACATGTTCTTGAAAAAAGATTGTACATCAAATACATGCTTGAAAACTACTTATTTGATAGATTTTTTAATGTATACCACATTTGATGATTTATAATGCCAAAAAATATTTTTCAAAGCTTAAATTTATTTTTTAAAAAAATGAGATCAACTATGTNAATCATTCACTTAACTGGTCGGATGATTTTTGTACTCTTATTTGTTACATGGCACACAGTGGATTGTCTCTGATATTAAGTAATACTCAGTGTATTGATTGTCACATCGAAACTATTCGTTATTCCCAGATCAGTTTATTTGAATGGCGTTTTAAGTTCACAAACAGCAAAAGTTGGTCAGTTCATAGAAGAATATATGGATTAAGTATACCTCTTGAAATTACCCTTAGGTATGTTGAGGATAAAATTGAAATTGAAATTTCATCAATTATTGAAGATGATTGGGAATACGAAATAGGTAAGAGAATATGCCTCTTCAATGACATTGGTACTAAAATAGTTTCAGAAGATGGAGTCAATTCGTTTAGTAAAACAAATAAAATCTGGATACAATCCAGTACTATAACTAAACATCACCTGAAGAAGGCAAAATGTTTTAGAAATGAGGAAATAAGAATAAAGTGCGATTTTTTTCAAACGTCGTCTACCTTGATTAGTTTATCTAAAAATGAGAAGAAGAAAAAAGTGAGACTTGAGTCCACCAATGCCGATTGTTTTTTGTATCTGCAACATCTGCAACAAGACCTTCACAGTTTGCTTGAGGATGAGCACTTTGCAGACGTGCAATTACGCGCTGAAAATAAGGTTTTCTTCGCACACAAAGCTATCCTGGCAGCCCGATCACCAGTGTTCTCAGCTATGTTTCAGCAAGAGATGGTAGATAGCAATTCTGGCGTTGTTGACATTCTCGATGTTAGGACTGAAAGCTTGAAGCTATTTCTGGAGTTTATATACACCGGAGATATTGGAGATATAGACGAAGAAATTGCCTTAATTATGCTAGTTATGTCCGATAAATATCAAGTAAGATCACTGAAAGAGAAGAGTTTGAAATTTCTGATGTCAGTGATATCTGCAAATAATGCTTGCAAATTTCTGACAACTGCTGACAAGGTACATTGTGATGATTTGAAATCAACTGTGATGGAATATATTCTCGAACATTCCAAAGATATTTTATCTTTGTTGGAGTGGCCAGAGTGGACGAAGAATAACATTTATTTGGCATCAGAAGTAATTTCGAAATTATTGAATAAATTTTAAAATAAGCCCTGAAGTAAATGGGTAAGTAATAATTCTTTTAAATTTTCTAATCAAAAATGGTGTCAAAGAAAGAGATAACAACATAAATTTCAATATTTTCATGACTTTTTTTTTAAAAAAATTCATTTTTATTTGTTTATTGTTACACATACATACGTAAATTGGGTCTTCCTGGTCAAGCAGTATCAAAGTTTTGCCAAACGGTCTGTAGTATTACGGTTGCGGGTTCGAATCAAGCTGCAACCGTGGGTTTATCCTAGTGATGTGTGCTATTTGTTCTTCTACTTGATAAGGGATTTCTTTTTTTACCTATGATACCAATGTAATATTACAGGACTGTATTACAGGATACAACAATTAAATAGAAGGAGTTCCATCTTAAGATTTCTTATTGTGAATGTTGAATTTAATCTTTAAAAACTAGTTTAGATTAATGTAAGTCTGATTTGAGTTAGTAGAATTTGATTAATCGTTATTGAATTAGCTGATGGATAAATTCGATATTTGGCCTGAACTACAAAGAATAATAATTAAAAAAACTTTTGTTTGAAAAGAAACAACAACCTTAAACTGGTATTTTAAGACCAAAAATTAAAGTTTTACTTCATTTTAATAAATTTTTATTTATTTTATTTAATTTGTTTGTAAATATTTCGTGAAATAAATATGTAGAGGGAAAAAATATTGTTCACAGTTTCAAATAATTCAGGCTAGAGTGGAAAGAGAACTGCGGGGAGAATAAAACTTCGTCGATAAATTATTTTGAAATTTTAGGTAGCATTTGAAAACTTTTTATTAACATATATTAACATATTCGTGAAGAGAGCTTTAAGTCCTAAATAGTTTACTCATTTACTTTTTACTGAATTTCATGAAACATGTTCATGAAAAAAGATTGTACATCAAATACATGCTTGAAAACTACTTATTTGATAGATTTTTTAATGTATACCACATTTGATGATTTATAATGCCAAAAAATATTTTTCAAAGCTTAAATTTATTTTTTAAAAAAATGCGATCAACTATGTTAGAAGAAGGACTGCATAATATGGTGTTATGGTACTATTATCAATGAAGAGTAATAATCTCTCCTTTTTATTCTGTATACTGTTACCATACATGGCAACGTTACTTTTAAAAAGTAACGAGTAAAAGTACAGGCATTTTTAAAAAAAGTAACGAGTAAAAAGTAAAAAGTTCTTATTTTAAAAAGGAACGAGTAAAAAGTACAAGTAAAAGTACAAGTACTAAACAAAAAAAGTAATGATTTAAAAGTACATTTCGAGGAAATCGAAAATTCAAAGTAACCTAAAATTTTACTGAATAATATTCTTACGTTCTTTAATGTTTTTGCAAAATTGTTGTTATTTATTTAATTATTTTTAATTTTGAAAGCTATGGACATTAATTTATTTTTAAATTCGGAAGAATATTATAATATAATTTTATAATATAATCATATAATATAATTTTAAAATCAAATATAATTTTAATATCAAACTTTTTATGGATTTGCACGAAAAAGAAATTCTATGTATTGATTTTTATTTTTAGTTTATTATTTTTACTTATTTAAATTACCATTGATTTGAAATTGTTTTACACTATAGAAACGCGTTTTAAAAGCACAAACATAAACAAAGCAAACACGGTGTTTCATATAGCTTTGCAATCTTGAGCTAGTAAAAAATAATTGCATGTGCAGTATAAGTTGAAACAGAATAGTCTACAATTTTATTTGTAACAATGGCTAATGCTGAAGTCATGCGAGAAAATCACTTTCCGAACATTTCTGCCTAACGGAATAATTAAAATTTGTTAACGAATTATAGTATCAGCGGCTAAATTAATACCTTCGAGTTTTCAAGAGTTAAAATAGTAATTATAATAGTTTTCAATAGCACAAATAGTTCTGAAGTTCTTAGAGATTTGACTGGGCTTTGTTTGACAAGGTCCGGCATAAACATAATTTTAGTAAAAAATGTACTAGGTAAAAATGTATTTAGTAAAAAATGTATTAAGACAAAAATATACTATTAGTGAGCTCAAAAAGAAAATTGAAAAACGCAATAACAAAATCCAACATTTTTTATTTAAAATGTATGGAATAAATGCATAAAACTCGAAAATGACTGAAAATAACTTGCTAATTAATATTTTCATTCATTTTACAAAATAATTGCATTTCGAAAGTGGTGCCACTGAGTCTGCTGCGAGAATTTCTTAGAACGTGCTTAGCCACGCTGAATAAGCGCTCCACGGGAGCATTAGAAGGTACTGCAGTATTATATTTCACGTATAATTCTTTTACGATTGGATATCGATTCAAAATTGATATGCTTTCCATTTCGACATTTGAGCTCATGTATGCCATAAATTCTTCTGTCGTTGGTGATTGGCATGATGTTTTCAGCTTTAGAAAATTAAGATTCCCTGGGTTTTTTTTCTGTTACTTTATTAGTTATATCAGGGTGTTCAGCTTGGACAATTCTTTTCAATTTTTTTTGTAGCCTCCTCCCTAGCTTTTTCTTCAAACCAATTAAAATTGATGCAAACTTCCAGACCTGCAGCAAGCAATAAATCGTCCTGCGATTTCACATCGCGAAACCTTTCGCAGTTCAAAAGAGCCGTCTTTTCCCTTTCAGGAGTGACAATTTTCAAAGGTCAAGGTATTTAAACACGAAGTTAGCAGTGAATACATATATATTGCACATTAATTTTATAAATTAAAAAAAACATAAGCATTTATTTTTAATTTAATCTTTTTTTTTTTAGAAAGCTTACCGAGTTTTAGAAAAAAGTAACGATTTCATTCGACATTTCCGTTACATATACTTGTACTTTTTCCCTAAAAAAGTAACGAAAGTACAAGTAAAAGTACTAAATTTAAAAAGTAACGAAGTACAAGTAAAAGTACGTACTTTTTACTTGTACCGGCGGTACAAGTAACGAAAGTAAAAGTACTGCCATATATGACTGTTACTTAAGGAAAGCATTTTTTTTTAAAAAAAACCTAAATGCTTCTTATTAACAAAATTTGACAAGTCTTTCATTTTAACGGCATACATCATTTCAAATTTTTAGCAGCACTAGAAAATACTTTTATCAACCATAGTCCTTGATGAGAGCTTGAAATCCTCAAATCGTTAACTTTTAAGCTTTACTAAAACGTGTTCATGCAAAAACTTGTCCAAAACCTACCAAATACATGCTTGAGAACTACTTATTAGGTATATTCCTTAATGTATGTACTGTTTTGGTGATTTGTTAACCCAAAAAATATTTTTCAAAGTTTAAATTAATTTTTAAAAAAAATTGAAATTAACTATGTTAGAAGAAGGACTGCATAATTTGGTATTATGGTACTATTATGAACGAAGAGTAAGAACATCTCTTTCTTTTGTTTCTGTCTTGGTGATTTAAAGTAATTGTTTTTTAAGAAAAAATAAGTAAATAAGTGATTATTTTTTCTAAACTTTGCTAGGGTCTTTATTTTATCGTCATGCATTATTTTATTAGTTTTGAAGGCGTGTAGAAAATACAAAGTAAAATATATACATTTTGTTTATCTTCATCGCAATTTTCGACCTATATTCTTTAGATTTACATATTTATGAACAATGTATAAATTACTTTGTAAAACGAGTTAAATTTCTTACTTGTCCCTTTTTTTATTTTATATTTTATAACCGTCGTTGAACAGCCGACCTAATTTTATGAATTTACGACTACTAATCTTCAACTACGTTGCCTTGTAATTTTGAACCCAATCCAGAAGTAAGGGATCTCCTGGATTGAGTATTGGGATAAATGTTCGCCTTCGTGGAAGACTTCTTTGAAGGAGTTAACCCGTGTTTGCGTTATATGGAGAGGAAGACCACGAGAACCTCCCACGGTTAGCCTGACGGCAAGGGGACTCTATCCCATGATCCACCTACCACAGAAGATATTTCACGTCAGCACTGTGGTCGGTGCAAGTTGGATGCGGAATTCGCATCGACTGGGATTCGAACACGGTTCGCCTCATTGGAAGGCGAACGCGTTATCCCCTGAGCCATCGCGCCTCTACTTGTCCCTTTTTGGTGAAGGCAGAAATGACCTTGCAAGTTCTATGGAATTCAGTTACTTGCAAATTTAAGGTCGATTTCAAGGTCCGCCAAATCTATGCACATGTTGACTTGTCTTAAGTACTACTTATATAGTGTTTATTCACAGAAATATATACATTTATGGTTCACTGTTTCTACAAGTAGAATTTGTCGGTCAAACACTAAAACAATATCCTTCATTCAAAGAAATATGCTTGTCCTTTGACTTTCTATGCAAAGGTCTATAGAAAGTATTTATGTTCTAAAAGCTAGTGTGGAAGTAGTAGAATGCAAAATAATGGTCAATGCAGTGGTATGGTCAGTGCAGTCCCTTCACAAAAAGTATTGCCGCTTGCAAATGGATATGTTTTTCACAAAATTCCAGAGGATTTTCCGTTTAAAAAAACTTTGTTTTTCCAAAATACCATAACACATGTTTAAGAGTTCAAGATGAGGAACACATAGCGAAAATTTCAACGAAAGGAAAAATGTTAAATGTTAATGTTAAATGTTAATGTTAAATGTTAATGTTAAATGTTAATGTTAAATGTTAATGTTAAATGTTAATGTTAAATGTNCACAAAATTCAAGAGGATTTTCCGTTTAAAAAAATTTGTTTTGCTAAAATACCATAACACATGTTTAAGAGTTCAAGATAAAGAACATATAGCGAAAATTTCAACGAAAGGAAAAATGTTAAATGTTAATGTTAAATGTTAATGTTAAATGTTAATGTTAAATGTTAATGTTAAATGTTAAATGTTAAATGTTAAATGTTAATGTTAAATGTTAATGTTAAATGTTAATGTTAAATGTTAATGTTAAATGTTAATGTTAAATGTTAAAATTAACTGGGTCATAAAATCTCGTAATCGGGTAAGAACTCGAACAATCGACTCTTTTCCTGACTAAACTATTGGGCTGACT